TGTGACATTTGTTCTCCGCGCCCTAGCATTGATCACAATATGTACCGTATGCAGGAGATGCTTGGAAGTTCATTGCATGTCCTACTTTCCAGAAAAAGACTGTTGAATGTTGTGAAGGCAGCCATTTTGTGTGTTTGAGTGTGTCGTGACTCGTGGTGTGGGTTTGAGATAATGCTGTTAATTGGCTGTACTAATGCTCCTTGAGTGCAGATTCTTGTCGGATTTAAACGAGAAAAATTAAGAGACTTCACAGATGCCGTCCAAATAATTGATGAGCAAATGTATGGCTTTTTGGCTGTATGAATTATCCGTTGCCATGCAACCCACCCTCCTCCTTGTACTCCTACTGCAGGCTGCTTTCAGTCAACTTAAGGCAAAAAAAATAACCAAAAAGTAAAGTGAGAAAGGAGATCAGATTTTTTTAAGATTCAAAACAGCTTTCAAGTGTGTTTGTTTGTTTGTTTGTTTGTCATTTCGGGGGAGTGGGAGTTTAAGTAGCAATGGTGACCATATTTTTGATTATTTTCCCCCCTTAGGCATTCGGCCCGACACATGAACAAGGACATATTTTTGACCTAGTTCTTGCTTACGGTGTCAACCTTGAAAATCTTGGACAATATTATTTCTGATCACATAACAGTTTTCTTTGATGTTGTTTTAACTCATGCTGCTGTTAAATCTGCCACTCTAGAGTGCAACCGCCAAATTTTTAACCCTTAAACTGCTGGTCGGTTCGCTGATGCCTTTAATAACCTTTGCGGGACTTCTTCAAACACAGAGGAACTCACCTCTTGGTTCAACTCATCTTGTCATGTTATACTGGATTCAGTGGCTCCGTTAAAAACTGTGAAGTCAAAACCTACACCTGAGCCTTGGTTCAGTGACAGATATCTGCAGCTAAGTGAGTGCCGTAAAGCCAAATGTAAGTGGAAGAAAGACAAGCTGCAGGTCTCTTATCAAATCAAGAAAGACTGCTGGTATAACTACCAGATCACAGTTAGAGAGGCCGAAAAAGAGCATCCATTTAGCCTAATTCAGGCTAACCATCAAACCCACGTGTACTATTTACAACTATTGATTCTGTACTGAAACCCCCTCTGCCTATTTGCTCAGACTCTTCACCCGAATTCTGCAACAGATTCCCTCAGCTTTTCACTGACAAGGTTCCTACAGCTAGGACTCTTGTTTCAAATACCACATTTGACCCCTCTGTCCATGTTCCGTGTTCAGCTGTGTTAAATTCTTTTTAAGCTGTGTCCTTGATGTTTTTAGAGGGTGTGGTTTGCCAGCCTGGGCTCCCCTTAAGTCACTGTTCCTCCGCATTTCTTTAAGGAGGTACATTGGTCCTGACCATTATCAACAGCAGTCTGTCTTCTGTGCCGCTGGAGGTGGCACAATAATCTTAAAAAAATACATACAGAAATTATGTTTTGGGGTAGTAAAAATTCTTCCTTGATATACAGAACAGTAGAGGGTAGGCCGGAGGGTCAGCGGTTCCAGTTTTCGAGCCCTGTGGCCATTGGGGGTATTAATCTACAAGCGCTGGTAAGAGTGGCAAGAAGGCTTAATTCATTTACTTAAGAGCTTTTCACTTGGGGTTTAAAAGTTAATAGGACGATGGCTGCGTAATGCCGTTGATTAAAGCCTCTTAATTAGCGCAGGTATTATAGGCTATTAGCACAGGCCTGGTCATAAAAGGTCAAGCAAGCAAGGCGGGAGTTCATTGTATTCTTGATGGATTGTTTCTTTTTAGTGTGTGTTTTGGTTTTTACGTCGCGTAGCCCTGTGGATTATGGCTGCTATTAAGGGCTGGACAATTTTTGGGGGGGAGACTATCGATATTTATGATATTTTAACAAACTCCATTTTAATGGCAGCAGCATTCATTATTCATGAATATTAAATGTGTCCGTCTCATGCTGTTATGAATCCAATGCAGTGTTAAGAAGCACAATTAAAAAAAAAAAAGTAGCTGTGTTTGCAGACTTTTAAAGTGCCCCCCAGCAACTGCAAGAAACTTGGTTTAGCCTATGGTATGAATCTGCAATCTATTTTGCATTGATGATGGATCTTGAGTGAATGATACGATACATTGCGTTTGCCATATGTAAGTCGTGCAATCGCCATATTGATACTTAAGCCCGAAAGTAAATAATAGTAAATGTCATATTATGGATATCTCCTGCTGGTGATATTGATACTGTACCCTAACAGCTCATGATATATCACAATATCAATATATACAACCCCTGGCAAGAATTATGAAATCCAGGGGCGTCACTAGGCTTCAAGAACAAGGGGGGCTTAGCCCCAAGGGGAACACAGCTCCTTTAGGGGGGTCCGGGGGCATGCCCCCCCGGGAGAATTTTTTTCTACATTCTGTTAAAAATCCATCAATTCCGTGCACTTTGAGAGCAAAATGAAGAGGCTATGAAGAACTACACACATCACATTCGTATCCTCTTTACGATGATGGGGCTTCCTCCCCTGGACTTTAACTGGACTAGATAATTGAAATTATAAAGCGTTCAAAAGTTCAATCTTGGTTGTTCAAGGGAATTAGAAGGATGCCCGATAACATAACCTATATGACAGTAGGCCTATATTCCTCTCTACCAAAATGTATTAATATATGCTTAGCCCCCAGAAGACTATGTATTTTGAGATGTCTGCCGTGATATGCAATTTAAGTTAGTACAATGAGATGCAAAAGCTTCATCACTTTGGAAAAACACAAGTTTGCTGCTCAATACTTACTGTAAGCTCCGATTGCATTTTGGGAACAGCCTTGCAAATAAAATTAGCCTTGAGATCTGATTGACTCACCTGTCCAGCAGAGCCCCCCCCGGCTCACTCTCTGTGCGTCTTTAGCCTGATAAATGTATTTATTTTATATTTATTTATTTATTTTATATAGGCCAAAATCTCAATAGGTGTTGCCTCAAAGAGTTGGTGTAATGATTATTTATGTATTTAATAATAAAATGTTGCTTAATTTTTATTAAGCACCACCTTAATTTATCCAAAAGTGAACACTTGTTACAGTGCAGTTTCTGCTGTTACTGGAGATATTTTAGCGGACTATAGTCACTAGTTTTACCAGCATGGATGCATTGAATACTTAATTTACCTTTCTAAAAAACTGTCGAATATCCATGCTGTCGACTCAACCTAACTTTCGGCAATGAACTGTCAGTTGTTGCGTTAGCATTTGATGCGGCGATGGTGACAGACACGTCAAATGCTAACGCAACACCTGTTGCGTTCAGGAAACCTGGGAGATTTAACATTACAATAATGGCAGGTTATCGAAATATAATTTAAAATGGCCACGGCAGGTTATCGAAACATAATTTAAAATGGCCACATTACATTGAATTTGATGCAATATATTAGCAAAAGTACAGGAAAAATAAATACTTTTTTTTAAACAATGCAATGAAATTATTTAGGGGGGCTAAAGGCATTTTTAGGGAGGCTGAAGCCTCCCTAAAATAGGCCTAATGACGCCCATGATGAAATCAACAGTCACTTGTTTAATTTTGTAGAAAAAAAAAGCTGATCACCGACATGACGCGAAAATATTTTCGAATGACAACTTTCTGGTTGAAAGACTAAAAGAAATCAAGAAAAAAATGTGATAGTCAGAATGTTGCTTGTTTAGACCAAGCCGAGGGGGTAAAAAAATAACCACCCAATCCTGAGGAAAAAAATATGGAATCTTGAAAAAAACACTGGCTTTCAGAACAGCGCACAGTCTCAGAGGCATGACTTAATGAGTGGTAAACAGGACTCGTCATCAATCTGACTTCAACTTTCGTTCATTGGTTTTGTCAGATAATCTTTGCAGGTTGGAGCATTGCCATTTTGTTCAACTTCCACCAAAGATTTTCAATTGGATTGCGATCCTGACGATTTGCAAGCCATGACATTGACCGTCTTTTTTTAAGGATTTTTTTCAGTTTTTGTATTGAACTGTACCTCGAAAGATTACAATATGATACATTGTGATATCAATGTTTTTTAAAGCAGTACTGCACTGCAGATTGTGATCTGATACATACAACATTGAATTGTAATGCTAGTCTTTCAATATATTTTCATCTCCAATGCTGCTCGTACCCTGGCATACAGTATATGCGTGGCATCAGTACGTTGCCGCAATATTGACATCTAATGCTGATGTGTGGATGCTGTACCCAGTCTGAAAGGCTTTACAATGGCTCCCAGTCAGCTAGAGAATTCATTTTAAAATTCTGTTACTGGTCTAGGGCGGCCCGGTGGTTCAGTGGTTAGCGTGTCGACCTCAGTGCGGAGGTACCGGGTTCAATCCCAGCTCCGGCCTCTCTGTGTGGAGTTTGCATGTTCTCCTCAGGCCTGTGTGGGTTTTGTCCGGGTACTCCGGTTTCCTCCCACATTCCAAGAACATGCATGGCAGGCTGATTGAACACTCCAAATTGTTCCTAGGTGTGAGTGTGAGCGTGGATGGTTATTCGTCTGTGTGCCCTGCGATTGGCTAGCAACCGGTTCAGGGTGTCCCCCACCTACTGCCCAAAGACGGCTGGGATAGGCTCCAGCACCCCCCGTGACCCTTGTTAGGATAAGTGGATCGGAAAATGGATGAATGAATAAATGTTACTGGTCTATAAATCATTGAATGCTTTGCTTTGCAGTCTTTAACTGGTTTGTTTGTAAATGCTTTTCAGTGTTTGGAATGTAAATACAGTAAAGCTGCCTTGTGATACAGACAACTCATGCTTGCATATCTATACTATACCCTGAGAGATCCAGATATGATACCTGCCAATATCTAAAATGGTGTTATAAGTATATTATAACCTTGAGTGATAACAATATCGTTAGACTAATAACATAATTGGCCAATTAATGTGTAGTTTATAACACCCCGGTTCCTTGCTCATTTGTTTTCTTCTTCTCTGAAATTGTTCAAAAATGCATACAAATATTGACATCAATGTATCAATCTCCTTATCCGACAGGCATTTCCTGTTTAAGACGGGCACCGGAAGCACCCCCTTCTTCGGCGCGGCGGCACCCGGCTACACCATGGCGACGGGCACGGTGTACTCCACGCCGGCGCGCCCGCTGCCCCGCGGCAGCCTGTCACGCGGCGCCTTCAAGTTCAAGAAGTCACCCAAACACTGCTCCTGGAAGTGCACCGCTCTGATTGCGGTTGCCGTGGCTGTGCTGCTGTCAGTCACCCTCTGCTACTGCATAGGTCAGTGCCAACATACACTATGAATGGAGCAATTAATGTCAGGGTTCAATTAGAATAGCTATTTAATTAGTTTAACCAGGAAAAAGTGTGTTCCGTCAAACCGACGTAGACCACAGTTTGGCATCAGTAGCACTAAATCAAAGCTGTTATGAGCACATTCCGCTGTAAAATACAAAACACAAACAGTATAAGAACACTTAGTTGTCAACTATTCCGGGCCATCAAAGAAATGAGGCTCACCAAACTGCATACGTGGAGCAAAGGGGGGATAGGGCTCGCGAAACAACTGCTTGCCACCTTCAGAGTTAATCATCCATTTTGCAGAGCAAAATTCGTGCTCTCCATAAGGTGTTGCCGTCCGTATCCTTCGAGTATCTCGGTGCACACGCCGCATCACTCCTACCAGGAAGGCTGCATGCTACAGTATCGGGTCATTCTTAGGACTGACACTGGTATCCCTCATCCCTAATGTCCTTATTGTAAGATCACTTTAGCTGTATCCCATGTGTGCTACGTGCAACCTTTCTCCCTCCTCAAAAGTCATTCTCACGCCGCTGCCTCATTTGTCTTAAATGTACATTGGAGAGTGAGAATCGAGTAGGTTCCACCAAGGAGCGATAATAAGGGAAGCAGTGATGTTTCCTTTTCGCAAGCCACTCAGCGCCTCTCCAAAAATGGATGAATTAGGCCTAATACGAGTTGAATTGTAAACAGAGCAGGACTTCACCAAAGAAATAATTGAAATATTTGACTGAATCTCTGTTTTGTCTGAGGCAGTAAGTATTTATATCTTTAAAAGGCTGATTGACACTGCCTCTTCGTGATGCTAAAATTAAAGTCTGTTATTATCATGACATAGTCAATGCATTTAGCCACATCAAGAACGTGGATGTCCCTTAAGTACGTTTTGAGAATTTAAACTGTTATTTGCCTTCCAAGTAATACAATTTTAACACAGCTATTCAGTTTGTGTTAGTCCTACTAACGCCACAATTGTAGTGTGTAATTGTTTGCATTCAACACGTTTTTTTTAACTTCATCAATTGCTTAATGCAAAAAAAAAAAAAGACTGTACCCACATTTCCACATAATGACAAAGAAGTGCAACAAGCGAGGGAGGGAAGCCCACTCATGATCTGCTCTGCATATTCGGCAGAGTTTGTGCAGAGTGGCAGTGTTGATCATATTTGAGTTCAGTTTCATTCCACTTGAAACATGAAGCATGCGTGGACATGGACATGGTGAGTGTAACTCTCAGCCACAAAGGCAATCAATTTGTGACTCATGGCATGATAATAAAGCCAATTAGTAAAATAAATATAGTTTATTTGAATCATTTGCAAATTCATTGTAACTATATATATAAAAAATGTAATTTATTAGATTCATTTTTTTGTACAAAAGAGTGGTTGACTGGTTAGCACGTCCGCCTCACAGTACAGATGACCAGGGTTTGATTCTGGCCTCAGGCTTTCCGATGTGGAGTTTGCAGGTTCTCCCCATGCCTGGGTGGTTTTTTTTTTTCTGTGGGTATTCCAGTTTCCTCCCACATTCCCCAAAAACATGCACAGTGGGTTGATGGAACACTCTCAGTTGTCCCGAGCTGTGATTGTGGGCGCGAATAGGTGTTTGTCTATGTGTGCCCTGCGATTGGCTGGCAACCAGTTTAGGGTGTACCCCGCCTACTGCCCGAAGACAGTTGGGATAGGCTCCAGCACGCCAACGACCCTCGTGAGGATAAGCGAATCCAATAATGGATAGATGGATGGATGAGTTTATAGAATTAAAATAAAATTAAATAGAATTAAAGAAAACAATGAATGTGGTTAATTTTATGACTAATAAAAGCAATTTTTATTCACAAAACATTAAATTACAGCATTACATGCCCATTAACTTTTTCTTTGTGCTTTTTCGAATGACCTGGCCCATCTGTCCATTTTAAGAATCAAATTTGTCCCCTTGAGCAAAACAAGTTTGCCCACCCCTGCGCTTTATAAATGCAGCCTATCTGCCATTTAATTACCATTAAAAGACTGAGGCCGCCTATGCACAGTCTGCATGTTCTTCCTCCCACAGTCGCAACATGTGCACTGTAAAAAAAAAAAAAAACACTCATTAGCATTCTGATCTTTATTGTCTCACTCACCCACGCACAGAATCAGAATCACTGCTTACAGCGATAACAACTTATTACTGATTATTCTAAACTATATAAACAAATTACTTTAACTCCGTATAAATTGATATATACAGTATATTTGTTTGATTTACATAAGATAAGATAACCTTTATTTGTCCCAAACTGGGGAAATCATGGTGTGTTGATTTTGTCCCCTTGTAACATCGATATCAAATGCTATTAGTCTCGGAAATTTGTACCATAAGAGAGAAAGAATGGTAACATTGTGATTAGAGGTGCAAAAATGAATTGATTAATCCACAACAAAACGATTATGAAATTAATCGATAATTATATTGGATCATCGATTCCACATTTATACACGTATTCATTCAAAATTGCACAAATGTTGAAAATCTTCAGCTTCTCGGCAGTAAATATTACCCATTTTCTGTAGTCCTCCATGAAAGCAGACTAATTACCTTAGTGTTGAATTAAAATAAAATAATTGCTTTTACTTTGGAAACCAATGATCAATGTTTTGGCCTATTTTCTGTTGTTCCAGACCAAACCAGTAACTGAATCGGAATGATTTTTTTCCTGCACTGTCAATTTGAAATAATGTCTTCTTTTCAATAAAGGAACGGAAATGATTTTTTTTTTTTTACCTGATCCGTCAATTCATCAACAAAATAATTGAGAGATTAATCGATAATTAAAATAAACATTGGTTGCAGCGCTATTTGTGATATAGTGATCAAATTCTGCTATGGTGATACTGTGCTCCAAGAGAATGATTGTGATATTAATATCTAATACTGGTACATCCAACTTGCACCCTGCAGCCAAGAACACACGTTGCGATGTTGATATTTGATGCTACTGGATCCACACTCTACTATAACAAATCAATAAATATCGTTATTTTATTCTGGTTTATTATTAATGCAGGTGTATTGATACCGTACGCCAGTGGTCCCCAAACTAGGGCCCATAGGCCATATAACGCCCGCCTCCACATTTAGCCCTGCACCCTGAACAATACCAGAGATGCATTATCATTTTTTTTCCCCAGCCTAGCCACGTGATTGAAATTTGTACATGCATAGAACGTAACAGTCTATTCCACCCTTATTCAGTCTGTGCCCTATCTGAAACCACCCCTCGAAAAAAAAAAAGTCCTGAACATACCACTGTCAAATAAAAGAATAATGGTTAAAAGATTAGGTAAGAGACAAAATGATTCAGCTGATGTATTTATTTCTTTATTTATTTTCCCTGTCAAAATCCCAGAAAGGGTTAAGATTTGGTGATGTGTAGCTTTTTAGGAAACAATAAATATTTACATTAAGAAACTTCTGCGATTGTCATACTTTTTGTTCCAAACTGACCCCGGTCCTTGTCTGAGAAGAATAAAGTTATTTGGCCATCACAGGACAAGTTTGGGGACCCTTGCTGTACGCTGAGTTATATTGATACGATACATTGCGATACATCTTTCTGGTTTATTGATCCTACCGTACATGCTTCCAATACTGATGTCTACAGAAGAGATGGTCACAAGTCTCTAAGTTCAAGTCAATTGTCAAGTCCCTGACCACAAGTCCAAGTTAAAAGCTGTCACAAACGTCAGCGCTGCAGCAGTCTGTTGCTGCGAGTGTGCCAAGCTGATGATTGTGTGTTGTTGTCATCTTTGACTTCACTACGTCGTTAAGATTTGGACGTTGCTCGGGTGCACAGAAAGGTATGGGGAGGTGGAGGGACAACTTGTGAGCTGGCACTTGAGCTGCACGGACGCACACACGCACGCACACACACACACACACACACACACACACACACACACACACACACACACACACACACACACATATACACGAATCTTTCATGGATGAGTCTGAGTCGAGTTGCAAGTCTCAAAAAATAGAGTCTGAATTGTCAGTCCCGATCTCTGGTCGATTGTAATGCTGGTGTTGTGTCACAGTGTCGAATACATATGGCGTTAGAACAAAAAAATATGACACATTGCGTTATATGTAATAAGGCTGTACAGAATTGGTACTCTGAGCGATAACGATATATGTTGCCATAAAATTGTGGTAAACGTCATGATATCGAGAGCTTACACTCGATCCTGCCAATCAGTTTTTCGACCTGAGAAATACCAAATGTGCCTTATTTGTTCTGCCCAAGCTGTGTTTTATTTCCTGTTATTTTCAACTCCATTTCCATTTTGCGTTAATTGTCATATAACTTGCATGGCCTCATTTAAATCTCCCTTCATCTGTTGTTGAGTAGATAAAATCTCTTTTGACTAACGTTCACCTCCAGTTGTCCTTCCGGCATTGCCAGATGAACAAGTCACCTGTGTTGCTTCTGATAGTTTGTCACTGTCAATGAGACACCTGCGATAGTTCCTGCCTGTTTTTTTTTTTTTTTTTTTTCTTCATGGGGGGCGGGGAAGCAGGGCAAGGCGACAAAGGTAAAGTCAGGGAACCAGTTAGTTCCAATGTGTTTCTTTCACAAACTGAAACCATGCAAAGAATGCTCATGATTTAAGATGATAATTAGCGTGTCGTAATTAGTGCATTTGAAATGAAATGGAAAATGGAAGCAGCAGATGACGACAACGCCTCCTTCCTTCCTTTTCAGTCTTAGCGAGAGAAACTCCACGACTCCATTATCTCCCGGTGGCATTAGACAATCTTTAGACATGCCATTCTGTGAAATGGAACACCACAGACAAGGCTGCCTCTCGAGAGCCAGTCTGGCATGGCTCTTAATCTATATCTGTACAGTTTTTTTTTTTCCTCAAAATGTTTCTTTTTTGTTGTTGTTGGAAATTGCACACATAATATGACTCAGATGCATCTGTCTC